TTGTTATGAATATTCTTCACCATATTATACATTATAAATACTTGAAGCTACTTTTATCATGACCTAATGACCTTGTCATCCATCTCCTTCATTCCTTTAGTCTTCTTCTGCTGAAAATTCTCTAAAAATTAAAGCCTGTAGCTCTGCTGGTACCATGTCAGCATGTCCAAAACTATTTTTCTCTGAAATTCAAAGCCATAGTTTGAGCAAGAAATTCCTTCTCATGGATTGTGCCTGCATCTGTGAGTGGAAACATGGTATGTGCCATTTGTGCACCTTGTTACACAGCCTTGCCAACACTAGTGTGCCACAGGAAAGGGGTTGGAAGAAGAAGGAAATTGTTAGCATAGGAGGCAAGGGGACTGCTACTGTTCATTAATCTTTGCAAATGCAATGTTATTCTCAAATGATTAAGTTGTATAAATTGAGATGGTGCATTTAGGAACCTTTTAACTCCTTTAAGTGCCACTTGTTGATCACCTAATGCCACACTCTATCCCCTGTTATGGTTATCACTGCATTTCCTGAATACTTTTGTTGTAAAAATTTGGCCCTAGCCTTACAACTGAGATACTTTGCAATTGTGAGGAAACCATGAGTTCTGATCTAAACAATGCAGCAAGGCTCATTAAATTGCTTACAATGATTTGATGGAAAGTAGCACGTATGATTGTGTTTGACTAAAGAACTTGTATTATTAAACTGCAAATGCTACTTCATGCTGATCTATTCATGAAGCTAGGATAAATCATTGTTTCTCTGTTTTTTTTCTTTCTACCTCCTTGCCTCCTTCATGTCAAGCACAGTTTTTTCAATTCCACTTTTCTATATCTTGAAAACTCTCCCACCATTGGCAACTCAGCAATAAGCTACACACATGCTTTTAGTGGTTGCCATTGCGTTGGCAATTTGTTTATTAAGCTTCTTATAAAACAACAATTTGGTAGGCACATGAACTGTTTAATTCTTTAGCAAACTTTTATGAATCTGAAATGGATTCGTTCTGTTTTCTCAATCGAAATGATGACTAAATTGTAGTATGTGTAAACTGTGTTAACACATCCAATACTATAAAATGCATTATCATTGGCTTTTGGGCTCCCAATAAGCCATTTTAGTTTCTAGTTCACTACAGAATTCAGAGAAAACAATATGTTACAATTAAATTAATTGCAAGAAATTTATGCTTTGCAACAATGAGACCATAGAATATATACTTGGAAGTTTACAATACATTATATGATGGTAGAGTTGGGGGGTATGAGCTCCAACATAACTTTTCCAATTATAGAAAGCCACCACACTCTTAACCAATAATCAAGTCTTTCTCAATTACACTCGTGCAGATTACAGTCACACGCTAGTTCTTCTGCGTGCAATATTCCTTTGCCAGCCAATGGCTTTTATAGTGAAGGGGAAAAAAATGAAAATTTGTTGTCTAAGTGCTGTAAATTTAACCTTTGAATATTCTTTTCAGTTGTGATGGTGCTACTTGTAGTGAGAGTGATGCTGACCACCTGATGGCAGAAAAGTCAAGCCACATTAATTACACCAATTGGTCACTCCTGAAGGACCAACTCCTAGTGGGTGACACGGTCCGTTCTAGGAAGCCTACAAACTCATGCAAACCAGAGAGCATGGAGATCCCAGAGGGAACCATTGTTGGCAAGGAAACCCATGCGGATAGTGATGGTTTCATTCTCATCAGGGTTCATGGAGTCTACAATCCGCTTAGAGTTCACTGCTCCATGGTGCAGAGGGTCACGAATGGCTTTGTTGCCGGTGACTGGGTACGGGTGATGACTGATGACAAGAAGCAGTCTCCAGTGGGCATTCTCCATAATATAGAGCGTGATGGAAGGGTAACAGTTGGCTTTATTGGAATGGACACTCTTTGGAAGGGGCACTATTCAGAGCTTCAAATTGCTGAATCCTACTGCGTTGGCCAGTTTTTGAGGGTGAAAACAGGCATCTCCTGTCCCAGGTTCGAATGGCCACACAACCACAGAGGAGAATGGGCGACTGGTAGGATCTCACAGATTCATCCAAATGGATGCCTTGTGGTTAAATTTCCAGGCAAGTTTAGCTTTGGAGAAGCTACAAGCTTTCTTGCAGACCCTTCAGAGATGGAAGTAGTAAGCTTCAAGACATGTGAGGGGTTGGCAAAGAAGTACCAGCACCTTGAAGATATCCACTGGGCTGTGAGGCCATTAGTTATTGCATTGGGGTTGTTCACAGCATTGAAGGTGGGGGTCTTCATTGGAAAAAGCATGGGCAAGTCGAGGAGAAAGAAGGTTGGTAAAGTTGTTAACATCTCAGGACAGGTAGAGGAACAGCAGCAGGACGGGCAGAATGGCTCCAATTCAGTTTGGCTTCCTCATCCGGTGGCAAATATCCTCTTTGGAGATGCTGTTCCTGCTAGATAAATATCCAAGGTCATCAGTCGACAAATAACTCATCAAAATTACACTCATTGATGTATATAAACAGGTGATATGGACCTTGGGACCTCAATGTAAATATTCATAAGCTGATATCTGTCCTGCCATTTCAACTGATCTTAAACTCCAGTCCAGTTTCATGCTTTAAGCACGAGATTAGTCCGTTTGGCATTAATTTTTTAGAGTATCTATTGCAAATTATTTTTTAACAGATACATATAATCGATCCCAAATAGTTAAGACTTATAATTTTGTTATTATTATTTTATTGATATGACTCGGTGTTTATTCCTTTGTGCAGTGGGTTGACTTTTGCTGGAGATGAATTGACTTGAAATATTGAACTGATAAGAAAACATTAGAAAAAGCTCAGGACAGAACCAGGATCAGAGTATCATAGTTATATATCATTTTGGTGTTACAGGACTGAATGAAATCTCACATCACGAGATGCTATTTGAGCTAAAGAGCTATTTGTAGTATTTCTGTGGCGAGTATATCATTAATTTATGGTATTGCAGATAAAACTTGTAACAGCCATTTGTAGATACCATGAAATATTCATGAAAACACAAATGTTTTGGAGAGCATTATTATTGTCATTATCATCATTCCTAGCAGTCTCATCTTGAGTAGGAATTGCTCGTATCATTAGGTAAACCTGAGTACAAAAATCTGAAGGATGATAGGTTAAGTTTGGAGATTGTGTTCGTCAAATAGTGATAAGAGAACCTTGCCAAAGAAAGGAGATTTAGCAAAGAAGACGCCGGGATTTTTAGAGACTCGGAGATGTACTACCAAGAGAGTTAAAAGAGTTTCGTAAGAGAGTTAAAAGAGTTTTGTGAGAATGAATGAGGAGAGAAAGAAAAAGAGTCAAAAGAGGTTTGTGAGAATGAATGAAGAAAGGAGAAGAAAGAAAAGCAGAGAAGGGGAAAGCTCTAATTGTTGTTTTTTTTATTCTACCAACAGAGAATAAATGAGGAAAAAGAAAGAAAAAGGAGAAAGAGAGAGAGAGAGCTCAAAGTCATGATTTTTTTGCTTTGACATGGACTGTTATTCAGATTTACTGGAATTGTATCGATGGGGTAAGTTTGCAAAATATTTGACCTTTTTTATTTTTTTGACACCATCCACTGGGCTCAACGATTTGTTTATATGGTGGAGATTAAACTATGAGTCCGATAGGCATAGACTCGATTTTGTCGAGATGTCCGCGATTTTAAGCGGGAGCTCATATTCCTACTGGTTTGGGTGGTCGAGATTGTCAAATCTATTTGCCAAAATAATTGTCCCAAAAATTATCTGAACTAATATATTGAAATAGGTTTGTGTAATTGCTTCGTCGCGAGGGCAGATGTCGGCAGAAAGCACTCTCCTCTCATCATTCCTACTCCCACGTCTTCGTCGGAGCTTGCCAAAAATGGATGATACTATCTTATTCTTCTTCTTCGTCCACGTCTTCATCATTCCTACTCCCACGTCTTCGTCTTCGTAGCTTGCCAAAGATGGAATGAATATATATAGAAAATTATTTGAATGCCCAAAACAATAGATTAAAGAAGATTCACTCATGTCTGTCCTGCTTTGACCGAGAGAACCCAAATTTCATTGGAGCCAGTCATGCATTCAAAATGCATGACTGGTGCCCAAAACTGTATCATCGGAAAATATTTCTTTTACCAAAACAGAGGATTAAGATTCATTCACTGATGTCAGTCCTACTTGTACCGAGAAAATCTATTTAATCGATAAGATGTATTATAGGTTGATTGGATTTTAATGTAAGTTATAATCAATAGAAAAATAATCTATATTAAGTTAGAATTCCTTAAAATATATTCTTGATGGGAGGAACTCTCCTAATTACTTATTTTAGATTCTGCTCTCGCCTATATATAGAGAGGACCTCTAGAGACTAAACATTGTATGATGTGTATGACATATAATGTATAACGGACGTGGATATGTGACAATCATTGAGATATTACGCTTCCTCTCTCATCCTCCTTGTCCCTAATCTATCAATCTAAATAGTCCTATGAAAATATAAAAAGAGAGGAGAAGGAGAGTCTTATTCTCCTTACAGATCGACAATGGCTTTCAGATCCGAAGATGCCCTATAGATTTCATAAAGTTCTTTCCGAATGACATTGAAAGGTACGCATCATAAATCTGATTTATTATTATTTGATTTGAATCCTAGTATTAAAGTTTTCCACATAACATATAGCATATTACAATTCTTAGTTCTTAGGCTTACAATTAATATTAGATCCTAGTTTTTTAAGATTAAATATCTTAGATTTTTTATTTTTTGATTTAAAATACTTGAATAATTCATATATTTTATCTATCTAAATTCTTGTGATAAGAGATTTGCTTTTTGTATCATGATATTTGATGATCGTGTAGTGGTGGTGATGGTTGTGTATCACTATGCAACCGCACCGACTACAGCAACAATGCTGCATGTGGCTGCTATGGTGGACTTGCTATAGCAAGCGGCTACACCAAGCAATGTGCACATCACAACAGCAATAGCGGGCGGTCGACAAATGGCGAGTCACACACCAAGATTGATCATGCATCGCGACGACCATGTTGGTGACGATTGTGGATGAAGCATTGGGGTAGTCGCGCATAGGTGACGGTTGCGTGCGGGTAGCAGCCATGCGGGGGCAGAGGTCGCGCCCATGCAGTAGTCGCACAAGCGATAGCCGCCCGCAAGCAATGGTTGCGGAGGCAACAACCGCACAGGCGACGACATAGGCAATAGATTAGGGTTTCTCAATCAAATTATAGTTTTACCCTTTTATATTTTATGAATATCTTTTAATTTTTGATAATTTTACCCTCTATAAATCTCATAATTTTGCATTATATCCTATCAATAAAATTATAATTTTACCCTTATAAAATTGAGAATTTTGTATTTATATACTCAATTATAAAATTGATCGATATGACTTATTTTAATTTGATCATGATTATATTTTTGACTATTTGGTTAGATTTAGTTTTGATCAATGCAACAAAAATTAAAATTTTGATCAATTTGAACTTTGATTAATTTTTATTTTTGACTCGCTTAATTGGGCTGATGTGTAGCCTAATTTTGGGTTTACCCAATTAAATAAATTTGATTGGTTTAATTTAAGATTTTATATAAAAATTTTAAAAATATATACATTATGGTTTTCTTTTATAGTTTTCTCATATGACTTATTGATTATATTTTACATATGATAAATAAAATTTAATTATTATTCTCATAGGAAAAAGAGGTATGTCATTTCTGATGATTATGTAGTATATCTACAAAAATTAAATTATGACATAGGGAGAAAATAGATCCCTTATCATTTTTACAAAATATAGAAAATAATGATTCTAAAAAGTAGTTTGATGCCATGAAAGAATAATTAAAATCGATAGACCAGAATGGTACTTGAGAACTCATTGAATTATTTAATAATTATAAAAGAGTCAGTTATAAATGATTTTTTAAGACAAAACGTGATTCAATGGGCAATATTGAACAATATAAAGCTAGACTTGTAGCCAAAGGTTTTTCTTAGAAATCATCGACTACAATGAGACCTTTTCTTTAGTTTCTAAAAAGGACTTGTTGAGGATTATCATGACATTAATAGCTCATTATGATTTTAAGTTAAATCAGATGGATGTAAAAATAATATTTTTAAATAGAGATTTAAATGAGAAAATCTATATGGATCAACCTCATAAATTCATAGAAAAGGGAAAGGAAAGCTGGGCTTGCAAACTTAGGAAATCTATTTATGGCCTTAAATAAGCTTTAAAATAATAGTATATAAAGTTTCATAATATCATTACTTCCTTCAGATTTAAGGAAAATACTATTGATCAATACATATATTTGAAGGTTAATTAGAATAAGTTTATTATATCGATCTTATATATGAATAATATTTTACTTGCCAGTAGTAATCTTCGTTTATTGCATGAAACCAAGATGTTTCTTAGTAAGAATTTTAAGATTGTTGATATGAATAAAGTAACCTATGTTATTAGCATCGAGATATTTATAAATATATCTCAATAATTGCTAAGATTGTCTCAGAATGATTATATTGATTGAGTCTTTGAGAGATTTAATATATAGTTTTGTTTAGCCAATGATACACCTATTACTAGAGATAGAAAAATTCAATTAAAATCAGTGTCCAAAAAATGACTTAATAAAGAATCAAATGAAAGATATTCCTTATGCATACGTAGTTGGAAGTCTATTATATGCTTATAAGACCATATATTAGTTTTGTAATTATAATGTTGGGTAGATACCAAAACAACCTATTAATAAAACATTGAAAACCTGCAAAGAAAGTAATAAGATATCTATAGGAGACAAAAAATTATATATTCACATATAGGAGATTAGATCAGCTTGAAGTGATAGGATATTCATATGCTGATTTTATAAATTATCTTAATAATAATAAGTCAGCTTCAGGATTTATATTAATGTTACTTGGAGGGATAATTTTTTGAAAAAGTACAAAGTAATCACTTATTGCATCATTAACAATAGAAGCTGAATTTATGACAAGCATACTTTAATACAAGCATACTTTAATACTACAAATTAAGCTTTATGGCTACAAAATTTCATCTCAGGACTTGGTGTGATTGAGCCAATTGGTAAGCCGCTGAAGATATTTTGTGATAACACTATAGTAGTTTTATTTCTAAGAATGACAAGTACTCTAGTTGTCCATGTATATCACAATAAAGTACTTGGTGATTAGAAAAAGAATCCAAAAACAACACGTGTCAATTGAGAACTTGAGTACTACCATAATAATTACTAATCTATTTACCAAAGCTTTATAATCTAAAATATTTAAAGAACATGTTCTTAGAATGAGACTTGTGAATAAGCTATAAAAGAATGGTGGTGCATGTTTAGGTGGATGTTATTATTGACCTTTTTTTCTTTCTTAATTAAAGTTATTTATTTCTGCTATCCTATTTACATTTATGTTTATGCATATTATGGTTGAATGTAAAAATATGATTGTCTTGATAAGATAAATTATATGAGTCATTATAGACTATATTAAGAAATGTTAATAATGTTGTGGTACATAAAAGAGAGTATGATATTGATGATATATAATCGCTATAACTCACATTGATAGTTAGACTTAATATGGTATTATTATATTTATTAGATTTATTAGCTTATTTTAAAATTCATGGTCATGTATAAAATGCTTTTCAAAATTTTTAGAATCAAATTAGGTAAAATTATTTTTAAATAAAGTTTATTTTGTTTATTTTGATTTTAAATTTCTTTTATATCCTATCAATTAATGGGCCAAGTATGAGAATGTTAGATTATATGTTCCTATTTAATTGATAAGATATATTATAGACTGATTGGATTTTGATGAAAGTTATAATCAATAGAAAGGAAGTTTATATTAAGGTAGGATTCCTTAGAAAATGCTCCTTGATGGGAAAAACTCTCATAATTACTTATTTTTGACTCTCTGCTCTCGTCTATATATAGGTAGAATCTCTAGGGACTAAACAACGTATG